CAGGGTTTCCTGTTCATTAACCAAGATTTATTAACGTATGCTTCAAGATGTAATGACTCCATGGTTTTTATTTGTGACTGCTTGTTCTTACATCACTCACAGAAGTGTTTTAAAATCTTCCCTAGTTTATGGCTTTTTCTGTTTCTCTTTGTACTGCCAATTTTGCTTTACCTAGTTTGAGGTCTTGTTATTGGTACATTTGAATTTAGAATATCTGGAATGGTTACATCTTCCCAGTGAGTTAGATTTTGTATCGTTAAGTGACACTCTCTATTTCTAGTATGAGGTGGTTTTTTTTGTTTTGTTTTGTCTTTTCTTTTTTGGTTCTGGGATTGAACCCAGGGCCTTGTGCATGCTAGGCAAGTGCTGTACCACTGAGCTACATCCCAGCCCTGGTATGAGTTTTTAAAGTCAATTTTATTGGGGTTAACTTACATACAATAAAATGCACCCTTTTAAGTGCTTAGTTCCACTCACACACACTCTCACATAATAACTACAACAACAATCCTTTTCTTTTTACTTTTCCCTTTCTTTCAGTTGAGTATTTATTTTGCTTTATTGGTTAATTTGTTGAGGCAAATTTACATGCAGTAAAATTCACATTTCCATGAGTCGTGACAAATGATAGTCCTATAGTCATCACCATGATCAAAATAGAGAATAGCCCATCACTCCAAACAGATCCCTCAGGTCCCTTTGTGGTTGACCTAGGGTTACCAGAGTTAGCAAGGTTAGCTGGGCAGCCTACCGTTTATCTGGCAACCCTCTGCCCATCCTTGTGCCTGGGCAATGGCTGGCTTTCTGTCTCTATGCTTTTGTCTTTTTGTGTATGGAATCACACTCTCGTTTCTTTTTTATTGTACAAAATAAAGTGTTTCATTGTGACATTTCCACACATGTATATAATGTGCTTTGATCTTATTCATCTCCTCATCACTGTCCCTTGTCCCTCCTTTCCTTCCCCTGGTCCTTTTCACCAAATAGTCCTCTGTTTAGATACATGTTTGTTTGTATTTCACATTGAGAGAAAATAGGTGTTATTTGTCTTTCTGAGTCTGGCTTATTTCACTTAACATGCTGATCTGTAGTTCCACCCATTTTCCTGAAAATGACATGATTTCATTCTTCTTCACAGACTGAATAATACTCTGTTGTGTACATATACCACATTTTCCTTATCCATTCAACTGCTGATGAATGCCTAGGCTGATGCATAGCTTGGCTATTGTGAATTGTGTTGCAATATACATGGGGGTGCAGGTGTCTCCACTGTGTGCTATCTAACATTCCTTCAGGTAAATGTCCAAGAGTGGTATAGCAGGATCAAATGGTAGGTCTACTTTTGGTTTTCTGAGGAACCTCTGTAGTGATTTTACATTCCTACCAGTACTGAATAAGAATTCCCCACCCCACCCTGTACAGCCTTGTCCTCATTTGTTTGTTTTCTTGATGCTTGCCATTCTGATTGGGTGAGAAGAAATCTTCAGTGACATTTTTATCTATTTCCATTAAAGATACCTGTATTTCAACTTTTGAACTCTCTGTTTAATTCACTGGCCCATTTATTAATTGGTTTATTTATTCTTTTGGTGTTTAATTTTCTGAGCTTTTTATATATTCTGGATATTGATCCTTTATCCTATGAATAGCTGGCAAAGAGCTCTCCTATAAACCATCTCTTCATTCTGGTCATTGTTTCCTTGGACAAGCAGAATCTTTTTAATTTGATGCAGTCCCATTTGTCAATTCTTGCTCTTATTACCTGAGTTATTGGAGTCCTATTCAGGACTCATCCTGGCCTCAAACTTTGATCCTCCTCATCTCCATCTCCCAAGTGGCTAGGATTATATGCTTGAGATATCACACCCACCTAGTCACTTCTTAAGGGTCCCACCTCTCAACACTGTTGCAATGGCAACTAAATTTCAACACAAAGTTGGGGACATCAAACTCAGCACTTCTTGAGTGTTAGGGGAGATAGAGGGCATCTTCTGCTACATTTGGTCTTAGTCCCAGTTCCTGACACAGGAACTTCTAAGACCCTTGGAATCTTCTCAGTGACAAGTGTCTTTCTGTATGCTAGTGAGATGACTGGGAGCTGGGGACCCCTAGGAAGCTTCAGGAGGGGTTTGGTCACCAGAAAGACCAGGGAAAGAACAGACAGTGGAATTTTCAGCTTCCTCCCAACCTGAGGGGCAGAGGGCTGAGTCTGAGTTTATCACCAATGGCCAAGGATTTAATCCACCATGCCCACATGGTGGAACCTCCATAAAACCTAAACAATGCTAGGTGCCGGTGGCTCACACCCGTAATCCTAGCTACTCAGGAGGCAGAGATCAAAATCAAGGTTCGAAGCCAGCCCAGGCAAACAGTTCATGAGACCCTATCTCAAAAAATCCTATCACAAAAAACTGGGCTGGTGGAGCAGGTCAAGGTGAAGGCCTTGAGTTCAAACCCCAGTACTAAAAACCAAAACAAAAAACCAACTAAACAAGGGCGGTGCAGAGAGCTTCTGGTTTGGGGAATGCATATATGTGCTGGGAGGGTGGCACACCCTCAACTCCTTGGGGACAGGATGCTGCCAGGCTTGGATCTCTTCATCTTCACCTGCAGTTCATCTGCATCCTTTATAACAAGCCAGTAAGTTTAGGAAAAGTGTTTCCTTGAGCCATTCTTGCAAAGTTGAAAACTGAGGAGGAGAAACCTCAGATCTGTAGGCAAGTTACACAGAAGGGTGGTAACCTGGGGATCCACTTCTTGACACTGGTACTCAAGGTGGGACAGTCTTCTGCAACTGACTCTTGACCTATGGGATCTATACTAACTCTAGGTAGTTAGTATAAGAATTGTGTTAAATCCTGTGGTACCCAGTTGGTGTCCGCAGAGAACTGCTTGGTGTGGAAAACCCCTACGATGGGGATTATATATTAAATGATTGCTTGACTGATTGGTTGATAAAAATGTTGTGAACAGAGGCTTATGGAAACCTAACCCTGCATTTTCCCTAGGAGCAATGGCTCAGTATTCACTAAGTCAGCAGTTCTGGAAACTTTACTACATATGACTACCGCAGTAAAAAGACTGATGAAACTGAGGCTCAGAGAATCTAGGCCTCTTGTCTTCTGTCACTCAGCTAAAAAGGGAGGGAGCCAGAATTTGAAATCAGGCAGTGTTACTCCAGAGCCCTGAGTTTCAAAACTGGCATCTAACCAGATCTTACATTCAAATAACATTTTATTCAACAACTAAGAAGATCAAGCTATTTCTGCATAGAACCCACTTGAAATAATCTATACAGAAACAAAAGCTGGAGGGTAGAAGTGTGTCTTTGTTTTATCCACTCCCATTAGAAGAGCTTGCCTGCCTGTGTTACTCTTCACAGTGCTCCACAGAAGTAGCTAAGCAGTTCTCAGAGCTGAGCCCTCAGTGGATACAAGGCTCTAGGTGACTCCAATATGATAACATAAAAAAATTAAAATGGCTGTAGAAAGGCCCACAAGAGGGCAGAAATCCTCTTCTAGGCCTTACAATTTTTTCTCACTTTGCATAAGTTGGTACACAGACATCATGCCCAGAAAAGATTCCACCAAAGGTGATGATTTTCCAGAGTCTAATAATTATTTTACAAGCTTTGAGAAATACACAATGGGCCAGGTTGCCTGTTGATGTAGACATTTCAGTGGACTTACAAAATTTGTGACCATCCTGGTCTGTGTCAATTTGTGTTTGCAACAGATGAATTTACCTCCATCCTGCTTATCTTTCCCCAAGAATGCTCCTGTTGGTTATAAAAGCTAGTTTAACCTCTGTGGAGCAGTTGCCGAGGCTCTAAACCGAGCCCGTATTTTCCAGATTTGCAAACCTATTCTACACCAAAATAAAACCGTCTTTGTCTTTATTTTAGCTTTATTTATGATTTCTTAATGTACAGGTGCATCTAGCTATTTATCGAGCTATTTCTACTGTAGTCTGAAATCCTCTGAAACCCATGTTCTAGTAACACTCTAGACTGGGGATCAGTGGACATTTCCTTCCTGTCAAGGGCCAGGGATAAATATTTTTTCGGCTTTGCAAGCCATAGCGTTTCTGCAGCAACTACTCAACTCTGCCCTTTGATTAAAAGAGCAGTCACAGCAGTACTTAACAAAGCAGCATAACTTGTGTTCCAATAAAACTTTACTTACAAAGGTGGATGGAGGGGCCTGGTGGTGACCCAGGCCTGCAATCCAGCACTCAGGGGGCTGAGGCAGAAAGACTGAGAATTTGAGGCCAGCCCGCGCTAAATAGGAAGGACAGTCGTCCCCCCCACCCCCAGAGAGAAGGAAGGCTGTCCTCATCTTTGTAATTTCAGTCCTAGAAGTAACAAGCGTCCCTGTTTTGCTAAAGAGAGAAACGAAAACAGTCACAGACGTTGAGCTTCGAAGAGGGCTAAATGGACCTACGTACTACTGGCCGTGTATCTTCACCGGCGAAGTGGACATGGATGTGGCACTTCTCACGCAGGAACCAAACTAGTTGGGAAATTAAAGCAAACGCAAAGCCAAAGGAACCTGTCTTCACATGCCCTCCGTCAACTGGCCTGGGTCTTCGGAAACCACACTTTTGCCGGCTGAATTCCACACACCGCCGCAGAGCTCGAACCGCAGGACCCGGGTACCCACAGGCTGCACGCCCGGGAACGCCCACTTCCGCCAGAGACCTGCCGAAAATAGCTTCTTCCGGTCGCATGCCCATCGAAGGGCGGGGCCTGAGTGTAGCCACGCCCCTCGCTCTTGCTCCTCGTCCGGCTGCGCCAAACAGCGCCACGGCCACTCCCAGCTCAGCGCCAAGGCACGCCCCGTAGTGACGTCACTTCCGGGGAGGTCCGGGGCGGGATTGGAGCCGAGGCAGCTGCCCTGAGCTGTCTTGGCTCTGCGGCCGGCCACGTCCCCGTGCGTGGCTGAGGGCGCTTCCCTGCTGTCCGAGGGCCGCCGGGCCGCCGCGGGCCTGCCGCGCTCGGGTAAGGGGCTCGCCTTGCCGTGCAGGGAGCAGTTATTAGGGCTCCTCGAACCGGTTTGGGACTGAGAGAGGGTTTGGGACATCCAGAGGAGGATGAATGTGGGCTCGAGAAGCTGGAGGAGGGGGACACCGTGCAAAATGATGAAGAGTGGAGGTGAGGAATAGGAGGAGGGAGGGAAGAAGGTTCGGACCGAGACCCTGGAGGAGCATGGATGGGACTCAAGAGGCAAGAGGAATGCGGAGGGCTGAAGTTCTGGGATTGCAGACTGGAGAGGAGAGAGAGGCCAGCTTCCAGTTTGGAAGCTGTGTTGTGGGACGGTGCAGGGATTGAAAGGACTTCCTGGGCCCCAGGAAGTGTTGATCTCAGGAAGACTTGACCCTTTGGGTGACCCAGGCCTACTTTCTAGCTCCTCTGTAACCTGGGAGTGGGTTGTGGGTTTCCATGAGATTTTCCAGGCTGTCCCTCTGCTACCTGCCTACCTCCCCCAAGTGGCTGCCTAGCGTGTGCGCTTAACTGTTAGGCTGCTACCAGGAATCAACGTCGACATGGTTTGTTTGCCTCAAGAAAGAAACCACTTGCAATTATTTTACCTCCAAGGAGGTAAAATGTCTCTAAAATGTTAATGAAATCAGCAAGAATAGGATTTATAATACAAATTTTCCATGCATCCACTAGACCTACCTAATGGACAGAGGAATGTCAACTCTACCAGCATGGACAGCAAAAGCTAGACCTTAGCATTCATCATTGATACCAAATCTTACAGAAACCTGGAAGCAAGCAGTATTATTAAAGATGATATCCAATGTTCCAGGCTCCCATCTGCCACATGGACACATTCTTTAGACCACAGGGCAATGTCTATGTATACAAAGCTATAAGTCTGTGTTCCTTGGGCTTCTACCAAAGTTCAGCCAGGTGACGCAGTCAGGATTGGGTGTCTGCAGTTTGCTCTGCAGTTTGCTCTGCAGTTGGCTTTCCCAGTCTCTCTGCTCCTTGCTATGTACGTAGAGCTTCCCTAGCCTGGAGGAGGGCGGGGGTCATGTTCCTGCTGATAAGTAAGTACTAATAGCACGATAGAATGTTGAGATAACTTTCTATTTCCAAGCCTGAGGATTAACTAGTTTGGAGCCCAATTTAATGTAACTTACATATAATATCATAAACAGTTTATAGAAGAGTTAAAAACTCAAGGCAAGGCTGAGAATATAAGAAGTCCGAGACAAGAAGGGTTGGGAACCATTTTGTGGTCATGGACCAGAAAAGGATAGGGAAGTTGACACTCAGGTGCACATCTGGGGGTGCCTTTCTCATGAGTTGTCATCTGATTCACAGAGGTGCCCTGCTGCACCTTCCTTGCAGATCCTGCAGGGAACTGATCCCTGAAGAGGGGGATCTCAGCACCAACCTAACCTCCCACCTTTCTGTCTATCCTGTTCCCTGATTTAATACTTAATCTTTGTCCAGGTAATAATGAGAATACAGAGGACCAGACTCATTTAGGGCTTGCCAGGGAAACTATTATTTTAAACCATGTTAGTGTTTTGTCCATTATGAGTCAACTTGTGAAGATTATTGTGGATTCCCACACATGATCTTGACATTGAGAATATTCTACTGCAAAGTAGAGGCAGGACCATTCCAGAAAGATGAAGTCATGGTACAACGAGGGCCTGTCTTGACTCTCCACAGTGGCCAAGTCCTGCTTCTGTGGGAGTGAATAAGCAGGGGTGGTACCCAGTATGTTTTCTTGGAAGCTTGTGGAGTTTTCAGAAGCAGCCTCGGGATGCTTTGCATGTGTGTGTGCTCACCTTTGTGTGTGTGATTTCCCACAGGCATGTGTGTGAATACACGTGTACCCGTGTGACTGCACATGTGGCAGTAGGTGTGCACATTTACACATTTATCTGGGGTAGCAGGCTCACGGTGGTTCCCTAGACATCATTACCTACTGATATCTGCCTTCTGGAAGGAGGGAAGCTGTTTCTATCCTGTCCCGAGTTTATGTTAAACATTCATCAGTGGCAAATCATCTGTGCTGTTTAATGTCTTTACATTACCACTGTACTCCTAGATTCCTCTCAAATTTCAGTTGCCTGTTAGAAAAATGTGTTTCCTAAAATGAAAGTCATGTAGCCTCTCAAAATTATTAAAATCTGGCTGGCAGACTGGATCAAGTGATAGAGCGCCTGCCTAGAAAGCATGAGGCCTGAGTTCAAACTCCAGTGCCTCCACAAAAGCAAAAAAATGTTAAAACCTACATGTAGCACTATATCAAGCAGGATTAAGATATTAATTAGAAAATGAAAATCACAGGGAAACCCATCCCCCGGGATGATCTTTATTGACATTTTAGTGTACACTTTTCCAGACCCTTAAATATGTCCATTTGAACAAAAGTGGGATCATGGTATGCGTGCTGTTGCAGAGCCTGCTTGTGTCACATAATGACACATGCTATGCATCTTCCTGTGACAATAACAAATGTATCTGACAACTGCCATAGTGTTTTATGTACAAAGGGCACTAGGCTTTACAGAATGATTCCAGATTTTTGGTATTGTAAATAGTGCCTTGGTGAGTGTCTTTGTAGATTTCCATCTTTGGACATCTATCCAGTTGCTTCTTTAAGAGAAATTCCTGTGTAGAAGTTGCTACATCAGAAGTTTGGACATTGAAAGCTTTGATACACATTGTCATTTTGCCAGCACAGTGCACATTCGATGCTGCCCTTCCCTGCAGCCTCCTCACTGGATCTTTCCCGTGCGCTCTCTTTCAAACCCTAGATGCATCTGTTACCACAGTGGAGCATCTGCCTCCATCCCACATGTGCCACAAAGCATGCCATGGCCTGCGAGTGCCCCACCAAGTTGCTCTCTCCTCCTGCAAAGCCAGACCCCACCTGGCAAGCACACAGTGCCAAGCTCACAGCTCCCCGAAGAGGACGATGGCCCAGCCTGCAAGCACACACTGAGCAGCTGCCTCTGGTGAGTGTCCCAAGTTTTGTAGGGTGGGTATGCCTGCTTGGGGACTGGACAGGGAGCCTAGAAAGGGTCCCAAGGAATTTGCAGGGTCAGCAGAGGGAAAAAAGAAAGCCAAGCCTTCAGTAACCAAGTAGGGGGAGTGCCTTCTGAGTAAGCCAGAATGGTGGTTCGTGGGAAGGGATGGACGTAGGGGATGGGGATTGTGTAAGCTTCCATGGCCCTCTTCTGCTTCGTGACACAAGTGCAAGTTGCTGCAGGAGGTTTTCTCTTGGTTTCATATCCTTATACCTTATTTATTTTGAGGGGGAGGGTGGGCAGTACTGGGGTTTCGACTTAAGGCCTCATGCTTGCTAGGCAGGTGCTCTACCCCCTTGAGCCACTCCGCCAGCCCTTTTTTTGTAATGGGTATTTTCAAGATAGGGTCTTGTGAACTATTTGCCAGGGATGGCTTTGAACTGTAATTCTCCTGATCTCTGCCTCCTGAGTAGCTAGGATACAGGCGTGAGCCACTGGCGCCCAGCTGCAAATCTTGAGTCAGAAATACCAAGTCAGTTCCTTCCTGCTTTAGCTGCAGCAGCAGCCCTGAAGTTGGCTGTTGTGTTAGAGCAGCGGTTGGCTGGGCCAAATCCCATGGGCTGCCTGTTTGTGTAAATAAAGTTTTATTGGGACACAGCCATTCCCATCCATTTATTCCCATCCATGGCTGCCTTAGCACTACAATGGCAGGATTGAGTAGTTCAGGTTCAGATTGCATGGCCCACAACCTCTGCAATATTTGCTATCTGACTCTTTACACCTAGCCTCAAGATTTTTGATGAAGGGGCAGCAAAAGGCCCTAAGGCCTAGGGTACCTCCAGGGGGCAAAGACCCTTCTTACCTATTAGGAGCCCCTGTCACATCATCCCGCCTTGAACTTACCAGCAGACTTCTGAGCACTCTGAGCCCAGTGGCAGTGACATTTTAAGTGAATCAGTAAATGTGAGTGGCCAGAGAGAGCCATCTAAATGCACGTATTTGCCGAGAGCCCAGCTGCAGTGCCTCTGCTAACTACTGATTGTGAGTTCTTTGTGCTCAAGCCTTCCAGTCTCAGTTCTTTCCTGTCACGATGCTGCTGTGTCTCTTCGCCGCATCCCATCCCCATTTCCCTCTGTCAGAACAAAGAATACTTTTTGCTCCCTAGAAAGCAAATGCAGGTCTGTGATTTGTAAGGCTGTGTAACTTTTTCTAAACCTGTGAGACATCAGGAGCTGTCCATTTTGGAGTAAGAGTGCAATTTAAAGCCAAAGATAGTTACTGACTTGGGGAAGGAGGAAAGCCTCGGGGAGTGATCCCGCTTCCCAGAGGAGGATGTCTTCCAGTCATGACATCAGTCCCATGGACTATAAGTGGCAGAAAGCCACTTCAGACATTCCTTTATACTGTGTGTGGGATGCCTGTGTGTCACTCCCAGCACCACCAGAAGTGCTTCTGTGAGTGGAGTGATGGCTGAGCCAGGTACCATGTGGGTGCTTGCCTATGTGACCCCGTATCGCCCTCACACACCTCAGTGAGGCTCAGAGCAGTTTCATAACTTGTCCAGGTCACTGTGTTAGTAAGCAGGGGCAGGGATTGAACCTTTGGCTGTGACCTGAACTGCTTGTCCCCCAGCTCCCTGCAGGGTCCCTGGTGCCTTTTGTGGTATCTTCTTCAGAGGAGCATTAGTGATCCCTGAAGGAATTAAGAGACTGCTCATGGAGGCACACGGAGAGTGGTCCCTTAGTCCCCAGTGATGGTGACGAGTGGGTCACTGACCCAACCCCCCCCAGCCCTAATTCAGCTGTGGCTGTGAGGCTTATGGTCTCATTGCTGTGGACTGCCAAGTGCTGGCTTCCTCATGACTATTTCCTTTTCGTTACTGTTATTTGGGGGAGGGTACTGGGAGTTCAACTCTGCTTGCTAGGCAGGTGCTCTACTTGAGCCACTCCACCAGCCCATGTTGTGGTTATTTTAATTAAACAAACAAGTCAAACCAGCCAGGTTTGAGAGAGCTACTTGAGAGGCTGAGATAGGGAGGATTGCAGTTCCTAGCCAGCCCAAGCCAAAAAAGTTTGTGAGACCTCATCTCACCCAATAGCTGGGCACAGTGGGATGTGCCCATCATCCCAATGACAGTGGGAAGTATAAAATGGGAGGGTCATGTTTCAGGCCAGCCTTGGTAAAAAGTGAAACTTTATCTCCAAAATAATCAGAGCAAAAAGGGCTAGGGAGTAGTTCAAGTGGTAGAGTGCCTGCCTAGTAAGAACAAAGCCCTGAGTTCAAACCCCAGTACTACCAAAAAAAAAAAACAAGCCAAACCAAATGAACACAGTTCTTCTAAAGATGCCCAAGGGCTCCCTCTCACCTCCTTGCAGTGTCAGAAGGGAGGAGGGACTTTCCTTAATGGCCTATGGGAGGGGAGCGTCAACCAGGACCATGCTGTCTCCCAAGTGGAAAATCCACTCATTCCTGCACAGCTCCTGTGGGTACAGGAGGCAGGTGGAAATAGGTGAGGCACAGGTGGGCAGGAGAGGGTTCTCTGAGGATGCTGCTGATGGGCAGCTGCTCCCAGACGGGGGAACCCAGCAAGCTCAGTGCTGCCTGATCTGTAGGACTTGCAGGTATTTTACATGCTTGGTGTGTGGGGGTCCTGTCTCCCTGCTTGAAATCCAGACCACCGTAGGGGTCAACAGCCTCCCTCTGATCCAATGTCCATCTCACTGTTCTTTCCAGACCACTGACCCTGCTGTTGTATCAGCTGTTCCCTCACCCTTACCTCCCCACCAGCTGGATCTTCAGCTAGTTTTCGGAAACCTTCCTTGGCATGCCCACTGCCATAGCCACCGCTGCCATTGTCCTCTAACCCCCTGTGACACCCTGCCCTCTGTCAGTCCTACCCAAGGCACCCTCTGAGCCTTCACCCAAAGGACCAGCCCAGCTCACCCTTTCCTTCCTTCCTGTCTCACAATACAGGTCACACCCCTGCTGGACATTTGTGCTAGCTTGCAATAACTTCCTTTCCTTTCTGGACTGTGCCCCACCCCCACCCAGAGGAAGCACCACGTTTTTCATCTTTTTTGTCCTAAGTATAGTGCCTGGTACAGGAGTAGACCTACTCAGTAAATATTGGATGGATGGGTGAATGGATGAATGATTGGATAGAATAGTGGATGGATAATTGGGTTGAATAGTAGATGGCTGGGAGGGTGTGGATGGATGGATGGATAGTTGAGTAGGTGGATGAATAAATGAATGGATGGTTGTGTGGAATAGTGGATGGGAGGATGGATGGATGAATGGATGGGAGGATTGATGGCTAAGTGGTGTCACCTATATGAAGGGTATAGTCGGCTGCCCAGGGTACACACATTAGGTCTGTAGACCATGAAAGAAGTCGAGGAGGAAGACTTGGCCAGTTTTGGGGATGAGAAAGTTTTAGTTCCATCAACGTGCCCATGTCTTGGCCCACTCTCCTTCCTTCTCTAACTCTGGCCTCTGGGATGGGACTTGCAGAGGTTAAGACTTGGAATGAAAACAGGTCAAGTGCTTTAGCCAATGGAAGGCCAGGCATGGGACAGATCCTTATTACCACTGAGCTCTTCCTGGGCACCAGGCCATGATCTAAGCACTTAGCTCAGTTTGGACCTTGGGCCCCACTGGCGCCTCCACAGTGGTGCAGTTGAGCCCTCTCCCTCAGGTGAGGCAGCATGTAGCTCACCAGATGCCCTCTGACCAGTGTGCTTCCTTGTCCCCAGATCCCTCCGCCAAGCAGAAGGGAGCCTTTGACAGTCTGAGGGGCTGGCAGGCTGGGAGCCTCAGGCATGGCCCAGCCTTGCCCCCAGCTCACCTGCAAGATGTGGACAGCCCTCGTGTTGGTTTCGATTTCCTCCTTGTTCTTATCTGGAAGTTTAGTGGCATCCCGTGAGCCATGTAAGTAAGAAAATTGTGTGACTGCCACATGGGCCCACGGTGGCCCTCAAACCCTGCAGTCTGCAAGGGAGGAGTCTGTAAACCCGGACCTCTCCTACTGCAGGGCTGTCAGACAGCTTCTTGGGGGCCAGGTGGGTGGGGAACCCTGAAAGGTTTTCTTGCTTGGCCTCGAAGTGGGAGAAGTGGGGAGAAGAGGAGGTGCAGTGGCTTCCTTAAGTCTCATTTTCATCGAGGAGTTTGCATTTTTGCACACCCAGTGTTTAGTGCACCCCTCCTCTGAGCACTGCTCATTCCCAAGAAGTCCTGCAGCAAGGCCTCCCAGAGCAGAGAGCTCTGTCAGGACGTGAGTGCAACATCTGTGCAGCCGTCCATATGCTTCCACTTCGTAAAGCCAGGCAGCGGCTTTGTGGTACTAGGGATTGAACTTAGTACTTCGCTCTTGGTAGGCAAGCGCTTTACCATTTGAGCCACACCCCCAGGCCTTTTGCATTTTTTTTAGTTTATTTTTCAAATAGGGTCTCACACTAACTTTGTCCTGGCTGGCCGCAAACCACAATCTTCCTGTTTCAGCTCCTAAGTAGATGGGATTCAGATATGTGATACCATGTTTGGTCATTATTTTTGTTTTAATGGCAAATTATACCTGTAGTATGAGACTTTCTGTTATTTGGGAAGCGGATCAAATATTGACACTCTTAAGCCTCCCATGGGCTGGGGCTCAAAAGGGCAAAAAGAGTTGTAAAGTCAGGGTGCCAGGGGCTTCTCCTGTGGCCACAGCCAGCTGTTAGTGGGAAGAAGAGGAAAGGCAGTGTTTGTCCATTGCCTCCCTGGACTTGGGCACTGGGCAGAGAAGAGGGCGCCACAAAGCCAGCGCCAGGGGCCAGCAGTTGGGCGACTTGCTAAGCAATCCACCTGCATGTGTTTGAGGCGCACTCTCTCCTTTTTTCTTGTTAGTCCCTAACAAGATGTGGAATAAATTAGTCAAGAAAAGGTCATCTGGAATTGTAGTTCCACTGGTTGCTAATAAGCCTGGGAAAACAACCATGGTGACACCTCCTCCCATTACTTCTACCACAGGGACTTTGGCAGCCATCTTCAACTCTACTGAAGTCAAAATGGAGACAACGAACAGGACAAATGTGAGCGCTCCATCAACCACGAGACACACAGCTGATGGTGTGACTTCCTCAGCTCCTGCACCACCCACACCACCTTTCCCCACGTCACCTGTCCCCACGTCTTCCTGGCAGACCCAGTCCATGAGTACTCTTGGGCTTCCATTCCTCAGCACATCTCATGCACAAGTGCCGAGTACAAACGCCAGCATGTCGCCAAGAACAGCAACAGCGGCAACAGGGGCCACACGTTCAGTGACTGCCACAAATACAAGCAGTGTCACAAGCACTCTCGGTCCTGCCGTGTCCACGGCCATTACCTCTACTGCAAGCCCCACTCCGCACACGGGTCCCCAAGCACAAAGTCCCGCTATCCCGGTGTCAACAAACCAGCCAGTGCTTAACACAGCAAGTAGATCCACACCCAGCCCCTCAAATACCACCCTAGAGTCCACCACCACCCCCTCTGTGGCCTCAGTGTCCTCAGCGGTGGTGACCACCACCCAGGCACAAACCAAGGAACCAGCTGCCAGCACAGCATCAGCACCTCACACCAGCCCAGCCCCTGAGGCAGAGGCCACATCTCCCACGACACAGCCAAGTCCTGTGTCATCTACCCAGGTGACTGGGAGGCCAGTCACGCCTCAGACACCAGAGCAGATGGAGACCAAAGCCACACCTGGCACTGCCTCCACTGGGCCAACGCATTTGAGCTCAGGGGACCCTAAGACACCAGCCACAGACTCGTGCCAGCTTAGTACCCAAGGCCCATACCTGGTGGTCACCACCAAGCCCCTGACCCCACCCTTGGTGAACAAAACATTCCTCCTGGCGGTGCTCGTTCTCGGAGTGACCCTCTTCATCACAGTCTTGGTGTTGTTTGGCCTCCAAGCCTATGAGAGCTACAAGAAGAAGGACTACACGCAGGTAGACTATCTGATCAATGGCATGTATGCAGACTCAGAGCTGTGAAGCCCATGCAGCCTCTTCCTCGGCCTTCCCCTCCACCGCTGAGGACGAGCCAAGTGCTTCTGGATCCTTCGGTGCCGTTCCTGAGGTCTGCTGGATGCTTAGATGCATTCATTCGCCGCCAGGTTAATCCCACGGTCACGAAAGAGCTGCTGCTTTTTTCATATTTATTTTTGTAAATGATCATGCGCATAGGAGCAGCCGGTGGTTCTGCCAAGGGGTGCGGTGCTGTGGGGTGGGCTGTGCAGGGCCCCTGGCCCACTTGGCCCCTGGTGTTGGATCCTGACCAGAATTAAAGCAATGGCCGCTCTGCATTCAGTGCATTTGTGATGGGGTGTCCTGCCCCCCTGCCCCGGCCCTCACGGCGGAGCCTTGTTGGACGCCTGATGGGGTTTAACATGACTGGAGACCCTGGAGGTGTGCTGTGTCTGAACTATTTTCTTGGGCTTCCTGTGATGTCCAAAGCACCCAGGGGCTTGGCAGGAAGCTAGAGCCAGGGTCTGTGGACCTCCTTCCTGCTGGCATCTGGCTCCTTGGCCTGTCAGTGTGGGCTTCTTGGAGCCTGGTTTGGGAGTGGAAGGGCTAATCAGTCCACATAGCCCAGGGACCCGCTCTGGCTGGAATCATCCTGCACAGCCACTGAGGTGGGATGATTGCTATCAGGACTAGAGAGGCAGAGTCTCTTGCCCCAGGTCACCCTGCAGGACAGTTCTGGTTCCAGGCCCCAGTCCTTAACAGCATCCAGAGGCAGCACTTGCTATGTTCCTATCACAAGCCAGCCACCATCCTTATTGGGGTGCACAAAACCCAACAGATCCCCATTTTAAAGACAGGACCACTGATCACAGAAGTTAGTCACCTAACTTGTTTTAATCTTTTTGTGATGCTCGAGCTGGAACTCTGCCTCAAGCACACTAGGAAGCACTGACCCAGCCCTGACCCATGGTTTTAGAGGCCTAGCTCTTTCCACCTGCCCAGGCAAGCTTGGCTTTTGGCATTTCTCTGCCCATTTGACTAAGTGGTGGGAGCCACACATGGGCCCAGGGTTTCTCCACAGCTGTGTCCCAGGCCATGTCTGCAACTGCTAACTGACCTAGGGCCAGTTGTGGAATGTTCTGGAACTCAGCTTCACCTGGGAAGTGGAGAGAGACACCATCTACATGGGGCTGGCTCAGCACCAGGGGGTTCTGGGGTGGGGGGACACCTGGCCAGGGACACCTTTGGGCCTCCATTGCCCCTCACAGATACCACCCTGGGAAGGGACTGGGTGTCCAGCTTCCCATCTGAGATCTGCCTTGTCCAAAAGGGATTTCAGGTGGTCCAGGGAAAGACAGTAAACTCCTGAACTGATGGAAATTACTGAAAAGTCAGGGGTGGAGAAATATAGGGAGTGGGGAAAAGGGATGGAACTCCCCAGCGGCTCTCCCCTCCTGCTTCTAACTCACCCCCTCCATGTTTGCTGAGGCCTTCTCACTGTGCAGTCCCACCTGCCCATTGTCCCTTTCCCCTTCTAGTAATAGCTAGGCCTCCCCCCGCCCAGCAGACTCACCACCACCTGAACCTTGTTTAATCACAGTTGTTCACTCCAGCCATGACTGGTTCCAGCTCCAGCCTTGTCTTCTTCACTGTCCTGAGGGAGACCACCTCACAGAATTGTCCTTGAGTCTAAGCTGCCTAGAACACAGTTCTGCCCCTGTGAGTAGTAAATCAGGGCTTTCAAAGAGGGCCTTTGGTCAGGAATCACCCCAGTGGCTTTAAGAGGTCTCCATCATGGCTGGTGGCATATCACCTAAGGGAGCCATGATTTAGAGGGTGTTCTCAAAGACTGAACACCTTATTCTCTTCTGGGGAGGCAGGAACAGGAGCAGCCACAGGGCTGGCCTTCCTGGCTTGTGACCAGGGGCCTCTGCCTGATGTGCCTATCTCTAAGGAAGAAGAAGGATGGGAGGGAGGGAAGAATGGAGGAAGGGAAGGGAAGGAAAAGGAATAAAACCTGTCTTCCTGTCCCAAATTCCTCCATCCCCTAAGAGAACTGGTCACACTCTGCTTCCCCCCTCCTTGGGTATTCTTTCCAGCCATCCACTGACTCAAATTCATGACATCCAAGGCTGAGCCCAGCATCAGCACCCAGGAGCATGTTCAGCCCTATGAGGCCTGTACCTGTACCTAGTGCCATCACGGCTCACATGAGTTGAGACCTGTGCCTGACCCTTGAGTCCAGCCTGCCATCACAAATATCCTATTGCCTTGGGCCCACCACCAGCTGCCTGCCCAAGGCCTGTCTTTTCCACCTCTACCCTCAAAGCAAACCTGACCACACCTGTCCCTGCCCAAAGCCCTAACCTAGAGAAAGACCAGGCTTCTCCACCCTCTGGTGGTCCCTGGCCAAGCAGAGTGTGAAGAAAGAGCAAAAGGCCTGTGGACAGGGGCGGAGGGGCCTCAGAGCCCCCTCTTCCAGGCTTTTTGCTCCTGTAGCTGGGATGGTGGCTGGTCTGGGGTTCAACACAGCACTGGCACACTGACACACTATTTGATAGATGAGAGTCCGTGAGGAAGGTGCCAGAAGCCCAAGGTAGAAGTGAGAGCCCGATTCACACTTTGCCTCCCAAAGACATTCTCTTCCTTTCAGAGCGAGGAAACTGAGGCACAGAAAGGCCAAGTTGTTTGTCCAAGCTCACCCACGGAGCAAGTGGCAGAATGGAATTCAGCGACGGCCGGTCTGTCTGCCTGTCCATAATGGGAGCAGGCGCCCACGGCGAAGAGGCTGGGTCTGCAAAGCCACGCGGACACGCGCGGGGGGAACGGAGCGCCAGGCACCTGGCCGGGCGGGTTTCGCCCCCTGCGGCGGAGGTCCGCGGGCGCCCCCTGGCGGCTGAGCTCCCTCGCGCCACCCTCCGGGGCAGGCGCGCGGTCCCCCGACCTGCTACGTGCCAAGTCCCCCCAGCCAGCTCTGCTCCCGGGAAGCCTCCCTGGCCACCCCCACTGGACAGCTCGCCTTCATGGTGGTGCTCCATGCCGGGGGACCTCATCTCCCACTGCGGGTCAGCATGCTCTTGGGGGAATGACGTCATTGGGCCTGCAACTGTGTCCCCCCCACCCCAGAAAGCAGCCTAGAACCCAGGGAGACTGCAATACGCTTCTGGCCCAGAACCGGTCAGCCGGGTCATTTAAGGCAACCACGTCCACACTCAGCCACCAGCTGTATATCTACACGTCGCTTAAAAATGGGGTGGGGGGAGGTACCCAGCACAGGGCTCCTATTCCGTGAGGGCTTACTGGGCGCAGGGTTCTGAGCTGCGCCTCCCTTAATTCTCTCAGATCGTGGTCTTCCCGCTCCCCCACCCCACCCCCGACTCGTCCTCCACCCCGCAGCCAGGAGGATATTTTTAAAACAACTCAGATGGTAATGCGCCCCTGCTGGGGGTGGGGGAAGATTCGAACTGAAAACACGTGGCCGAGGGAGACGTTCAAAAAACGCCAGGGAAATGGGGGCCCCAGGCAGAGACCAGTCAACCCAGAGCCCCCGGGAAGTGGACAAAGCTCCCAGCATGGGGAGGAAAGGGAGGAAGTGGAAGGGACTTGGCCAGGCAGGGTGACATGAGCAGGGTTAGGGTTTAAGGCATTCTCAGTCGCACTGAGGTGGCACCGATGAGTTTATATGCTCTCTGAGATTTGCTTCAAAGGGCTTCAGTGGTGGGAATGGGTTCCTGGGGAGAGGGCCTGTTTCCCACGCTCCCCACTTTTGTCTGTGTGTTTGGAAATTTCCATGATGAAAGGTTAAAGGAAAACCAGATAGGAAGGGAGGGGGAGGAAGGGTGGAGTTGTCACTCAGTCTTAGAAGTAAGTGACTGCCTCTGGTTGCCACAAGGAGTGGCCTTGGTGGTACCAGGACAAGATGCCAACTGGAGCCTCTCCTTCCAGGCTTTGTGTTCCTGCAGCTGGGATGGTGGCTGGTCCAGGGCAGGACATATGGCTGGCAGGGGGTGTGCCACACCTGGGAGGGAAGCCAGGGAACTTGGGGACATGAGACTTTCACTGTTTTTATTCTTTTCTCCTCCCTCTCCCTTCTCTCTCTCTCTCTCTCTCTCTCTCTCTCTCTCTCTCTCTCTCTCTCTCTCTCTCTCTCTCGCTCTCTCTTCCTCCCCCACCCCCATTCACGCTGGGGATGGAACTCAGGGCCTCAAGCATGCTAGGCAAGCCCTCTACCACTGAGCTACAGCACCAGTGACTCCAACTAATTTTTTTTTTCTTTTCCTTTTTATTTTGTGGTTTTTTTTTTTGTTTGTTTTTTGAGACGAGGTGTACTATGTAGTCCAGGCTGACCTCAAACTCTTGCCTCCTTCAGTGTTGAGTTAGACATAGAGCCTGTCAGACATGAGTCTGAAGAGTGGGAAAAGGCCCTGTGGAAAATGCCAGTGCTTCACCCCCTCCCCACTTGGTGGGAAGTTTGTTTGTTTGTTTGTTTGTTTGTTTTTCACTTCTGCACTTCCAGATGCAGAAGCTGAAGTCAAGTAGCTTAGGGACTTGCCCTAAGTCACACATAGATGAGGGTTGTGCCAGGCTTCCAGCCTAGTGCACTTGGCTCCCAAACTCCCCCTTTTCCCACCACTCTGTGTGCGGGTATACATGTGGAGCTGATTTGAAGCACTGTTGCTCAATGGGGCTGCCACAGCCCCGTAGGCCATCCAGCATTCTTATTGAACAAGTGGTGTGCCCTCAATGAGCAGGGCACACACAGAGGTGTGTCCCCCAAGCTGACTGGAGTGACCCCTCGCACAGGAACCTGCATGGAGGAAGCCAGCACAGAGATGTCCTGGTGACAAAAGTGTCCCTAGGGGTGTAAAAATGCATGAGCCCTGGGGCCCCAGTAAGTGGAAATGCGTGAAAGAGGGAGACTAACCCCTATCTCTGGGGACCCCAGTTCAGCATCTCTGAGAGGCCCAGAGAACAATTCCACAAACCCAGTGGCTTTGTCTCAGGAAACTTCGTTATGAACAGAGCCCCCTCTGCCCTGCTAGAGAGCAGGGCTTTGCTGCCAAGGCAGAGGGGTCGGAGCTCCCCACTCTCTCTCTGCACATCTCTGCTCTGTTCTCTGAGCACCCCACCTCACAGGGCTCTCAGGGTCTGCTTTCTCCAGGGGTCTCTGGATTTTTTAACTTCTGGTGCATTTAGGGTGCTATGTCCAGCTCCCAAAGTCCCCTCTTGCTCAGTCCACTGTTGGCTGTGAGGCTGCCCCTAGTGAGCTGTAGGCACAGCCCAGCTGTTAAGAACACAGTGGCTCACGCTTGAATCCTAGCTACTTGG